GAAGGGACTGTGTGGGCTTGGCACACAGGGGGCCAGGTCTTTCCTCAACCTTCCCACCCCTGGGCACTAGTCTGAAACCTGAGTCCTAAGTAGCTTCTGGCATGCTTCCTGTCCAGGGCCCAGGGCTCTGGGTGTTGTTCTAATTTATGGGGCCACGGGACCTGGCCTGATGTCTTCCTTCGTCACTCTCTGGGCAGCAAGCATTGCTGCTCTGCCAAGCTCCACCACGTACCCTTGACCTTCCAGGGAGGCATCCAACAGGGTCTGTCTGTTGAGGTTGGAGGTGGGAAGTGCAGTCCCATGCTAGTCAGTCTGCAACTATCAATGGCCACGCTTGCTCACTCAGCCACCCACCCACCCACTCTACAGCCCATAATGATCCTGTAGGGAAATGAGCAGGGAGGAGCCATGCCCCAAACATGAGTCTTAGGAAGACAGGTTGAGAGAGCCCCGGCAGCCTGGGCCACTCCTCAGCCGTGCGGCCTAACTTTAGGTTCCCCAAAGGGTGAAGGGGCTATAATGATGAGATAGGTCTCATGAAGTTAAGTATGAGGGCATCAATATGCAAATGATTAAATGCATATGAAATGAGCATGTAAATTAGGAAGGCTGCTGGGTGTTATGCGGCCTAACTTTAGGTTCCCCAAAGGGTGAAGGGGCTATAATGATACCTATCTCATGAAGTTAGGTATGAGGGCAGCAATATGCAAATAATTAAATGCATATGAAATGAGCATGTAAATTAGGAAGGCTGCTGGGTGTTCAATAAATGTTAGGAAGCAATATTAAGTAAATAATGTCAAGATCTCTCTTGTGTGGTGTGTGTGGGGTGTGTGTGTGTGTGGGCACATGTGTATGCAAGTGTGTATGTTTATATGTGCATACTCACAGAGGCCAGAAGACAACACTGGGAGACCTACTCTATCTGCCTTAATCTCTCTCTCTCTCTCTCTTTCTCTCTCTGTTTTAGACAGTCTCACTATGCAGCCCTGGCTGTCCTGGAACTCATAGAGATTTTCTGTTTTAGACAGTCTCACTATGCAGCCCTGGCTGTCCTGGAACTCATAGAGATTTACCTGCCTCTGCCTTCCAAGTGCTGGGATTAATTTCTTTGAGTCAGGGTCTCTCATTGACCTTGAGCTAGGCTGCTAGCCAGTTAGCCCCAGTTAGCCCCTGTCTCTGCTCCCTCACTGCTGGAGTCACAGTGGTTTCTATGTGGGTGCTGGAATTTAAATCAGGTTCCACCCACAGAACTATCTCTCTCTATTCTGATAAAAAGATCTTTGAAAACCCAAACAAAATAAAACAAAAATTTGTCTGTTTCTACTGTGTCAACAGCTTCAAAGTTTCTCAAAGCAGCCTCCACCCAGAGACCACTCGCCCCATATGCACAGGACTGGTGGGGCAGTTCCTACCAGGGCCAGAGGCCAAGGTTCCCCTTCACCCTCAGCCCTCGAAGAGGGAGTGGGGCTTGCTCATTCACCTTTGTAACTTGATGAAAGAATGAGTTCTCCTTCCTGCATAACTGGGCACACCACCTACAGGCCTTGCTGTGTGAAATCTACTCAGAGCTTCTGGGGGTGACAGCAACACTTGGGGTCCTGAGCCAGGACCTGTGTCTCATCCAGGGAGGACTTGGTGAGAATCAGAAGGCTGGGTGGGGGTGGCAATGCCTCTGGGGCAGAGAACTCCCAACGAGGGTGGAGTGTGGCCAGGGGTCACAGGGTGGAGTGGAGGAGGACCCATAAGCTCTGAGCTGGGCAGACTTACAACTGGGTCCTGGTTGTCACCAGGCAAATGGCTTCCTCTTTTTTCTTTTTTCTTTTTTTTCAAGATAGGGTTTCTCTGTACAACAGCCATATCTGTCCTGGAACTTGCTCTGTGGATGTGGCTGGCCTCGAACTCACAGAGATCTGCTTGCCTCTACCTGGAACTAAAGGTATGCGCCACTACCTCTTTCTGGGCCTCATTTTCTTCACCTGCAAATCAGGATGCTGAGAGAGCATCTTCCAGGTCACAAGAACAAAGGGGTGGTGCACTGCTTCCTGATGTTAGGCAGCCATCCACCCCACCCCTCTTGCTCCTGCCTGCCTGAGAAGAGCCTTGCCCTGCAGATACTGGACGTGTCCCAATGGAGGGGGCATCTTTCTGCCTGACATGTGATCTCAGCTAATAGTGACTTTGCTTCCTGGGGACAACTGACACTGTCTGGAGGCATTTTTGGTTGTCATATTGTGGTGTGTGTGTGTGTGGGGGGGGCTGCTATTGACATTGGGTAAACCAAGGCAGGAATACTACTCATCATGCTTTACCATGCAGAATAGTCCCCTCAGCAAAGAATTCCCCAGAGGGTTTGTGGTTCTCTGCTCCAAATATGTGCTGTCCAGGATGGTGACTGCCAGCATAGGTGACTGTGGTGACCTTGCAAAGTGGTCAGCCTCCCCACTCCAAATGAACTTTGAATATAACAGAATCTTAAAGGGAAAAGAATGTCAGCTTTCTCATGAACCATCTTTCATTATCATGTATTCCTGTGACGGCATTTTGGATATGCTGGGCTTAACAAAATATAGTGTGAACATTAATTACATCTCTCCAACTTTTGTGTGTGTGTGTGTTGTACATGCACACACGTGTGTGTAGGGGGGTGAGTACACATGCCAGAGAAGGGTGTTGGTCGTCCTGCTCTGACACTGTCTGCCTGGGTCTCTCCTGGACCTGACTAGGCTGGTAACCGGCAAGCTCCCAGCAACCATCTTGCCTCTGCCCTCCACAGAGCACAGGAACATACAGCCATACTTGGCTTTTTATGTGGGATCTGAGGATCCAAACTGAGATCTTCATGTTTGGGAAGCAATACTTTTATTCTCAGAGCCATTTCTCCAGCCCTAACTTTTATTTTTGATGTTTTGAGATAGTGTTTTAGTGTGTCTCCCTGCCTGGCCTGGAAGTTTTCATGTGGACCAGACTGGTCTCAAACTCACAGAGGGCTATACTTTCCCCTGCCTCCCGAGTGTTGGGATAAAAGATTAAAGTCATGCACAGCTACTCCCAGCTTCCAGCCCTAACTTAAAAAAAATATTTACTAGTTTTTCTCCTCTCTCTCTCTCTCTCTCTCTCTCTCTCTCTCTCTCTCTCTCTTCTTCCTTTCTTTTTCTTTTGCTTGTTTTGGAGACAGGGTCTCTGTGTAGCCTTGACTGTCCTGGTACTTGCTATGTAGATCAGGCTGGCCTTGAACACACAGAGATCCTCCTGTCTCTGCCTCCCCGCTGCTAGGATTAAAGGCCATTCCATTTTCTTATTTTTTTGAGGTGTGCATGCATGTGTTGGGGGAAGGTTGAGAGTCATGCTGATAACCCAAGCTGACCTGGAACTTACTATGTAGTCTAAATGAGCCTTGGTCTCAGGGCCCTCTGGTGTTGGGATTACAGGCGTGAACCACCAACCCCATATCTGGTTAACTTATTTTAAAACACAGATTATTACAACATTTAGAGCTTCTTTTGGGCCGGTGCTGGTCTAGACTGTACTGGCACTTGGTGTTGGAGAACTCTCAATACCATGAGCTGTGAGTCCTGGCAGAGGCTGGTGGCACTAGCAAGAGCTGGCACCCTCCCTCTTATCCCCCACCAGGCTGGGCTTGTCTCTGCTAGAGTGGAGCAAGGACAAGGACTTAGGCATGGACCCCTTTTGCTCCTCAGTCCCCAGCAGAGGCAGTGTGCCAGCCTTTCAGACAGTACCCACAGTGCCCCAGCAAGCAGACGGGCATGGTGACAACTGTGGCTTAGGGACCTGGGCGCCCTGGATCCTGGCTTACCCCTTGGCAGTGCCCAATTCAGAGCTGGGAAGGGGGAGAGATGGGCACACTCCCAGGCCACTGGTGCCTAGCCCACACTCTGCCCTTACATTACAGCCCTCGGGGTCCACCCAGTCCTCCTTTGGGGTCTATATGCAGGACCAGTGAGGTCCAGGCCCAGGTGATGTGGAAATGGGGTATAAGACTATGAATAAAGGAACAGAGGGGGGCCCTGGTCACAGGGTTGCTGGGCTCAGCAGGGCCAGCACCTCCTGTAGAAATAAATGGCTGGGCACTGGGAGGGAACAGGAGAGTGGTGGGAGGGGTAAGGGGGAGCTTAACAGGAGACACACCGGTGGGCTTGGGAGAGTTGGGTGCTTTCATGTCAGAACGATTTGGGAACAACAAGGCACACAGAGGAGGTACCCACCCAGTCACCTTCACAGGGCCTCACCTCAGAATCCTGCATGCCCCTCCTTCCAGCGTGAAGCCCTCCCACTCCAGCAATGGAGAACATTTAGAATGCTTGGAGCAGAGAGCTGCATATCAGACCTCAGTGTGGTCTCTCAGGCTGCTCACCCCAACACCTTTCTTGGTCCCACACCACACTCTACCCATTTCCTATTCCTTCACCCTGTGTCTAGGGTACCCCAAACCCCATCAAGTGTGTGGACAGAGAATATGGGAGAGGGGAACAGATCCTGGCTCTCGGGACATCAGCAAGTGGAAAGTGACCCCTCCCTAATCTCAGGGTGAAGTCAGGAAAGGCATTTGGTGACACAGCTCACAGCCAGTGCCTGGGGACAGGCAACCACCAGCAGCCCCTGGGGCGGTGAAATCGGATAAGTCCCAGGCCAGATTGGTCCTGGGCAGCTACCCTTCCCAGCAAGCCAGGCCCCAGCACATCCCAGGGAGTTTCTGCTTGCTGGGAGTAGGAAGTCCACTCTGCTTGCTGGGAGTAGGAAGTCCACTGGTGCAGGAGGCTGGGGTGAAAGGTGCTGGGACTGGGTGTCTTGGAGGCCTCAGGATTTCGTGGAAGCGGACACTGGCCTGGGCGATATCAGGTTTTTTGGAGTTCTCGGGATTTCTAAGGATCTCGAATTAAAGGACAACTGGGGTACTGCAGCCAGGCTGTCCTGGTCCAGGGTCTCAGGTTTGTGAAGGGTGGGTGGGTCGGAGGGGGTGACTCGCCCACTCGACTCACCTGTACACATCGGTCCAGAGCTGCGTGCCCAGCACGTACACCGCCTCCACGCGGCTCCCGTACAGCAGCCGCACCGTCCGTTCCCGCAGCATCTTTTCACGCCCGCAGAGCGGTCTGCCGTTCCGCTGCTCCCGGGACTGAGCACCTGCCGCAGGTGAGTGAGCCCGCCGCTGCGCCTGTGCCTGCGCCCGCCGCTGGGCTGCGAGCCGTCTTAAATTACAGCCGGAGGGCGGGGCTGGACAGGGCCGTCCGCCGGACTCCTCCTGGAGTGGGCCTGTGGCCCGTCCATCAGGCCTGGCCCCGCCCCCTAGCGCCCCCTAACCACAAGCTGTCAATTCTCACTTTCCGTATTTGGCTTGCTCATTCTTTTATTCAACAAATCTCCCTTTCTGCACCTACATCCCGGAGGGGCAGAAAATGCGAGCAGGGGCAGCCGAAGGGACAGAGCAGGAGTGGGTGGGAGCACAGAGGAGGCGACCACACCCAGCAGTCTGGGGTCAGGGAAAGCTTCTCAGAGGAGACCCCTGAAGTTTCTTAAAGAAGGTCTTGCCAACACAAGGGGGAGGAGAGTAGACTCCCGGACATCTTCTGGAAGCTGGGCACCCCCTCCCATCAGATCTACATTGCCGTGGGAAACAGGGAGTGGGTGGAACCCTGCCCCTGGCGGGACCAGAATGCTAAGCCCAGTCGCGAGAGGGGCTGCATGAGCCTGGAATGGCTCTTCCTCAGGGGTGACCTGGGAGTATTCTGGCTGTCCCAGACCACGGAGAGCAGGCTGAGCCGGGGCCAGCATTGAAGACCCCGGCTGGAACGTGAGAGGGCCGAAGAGCGGAGGATTGATCCCAGTAGTGTTTATGGATGGAGATTTGGGTGGCTCCCGGAGGCTGAGCGAGTGTGCGTGTCTGAAGGACAGGGACCCGGTAGAGGATTAGGGTCCCAGCCTGGGGCACCAAAAGGTGTGCCAAGGTAGAGATCAGTGTGTGTCCTGGAAGGTCAGGGTGCATGTGACATCCAGTGGGTGGTGTGAACCACCCTGAATTCCATCCAGGCCCTTTCTCTCTGAACCCACCCCTGGGTCTATGAAATAAACAGCAGCGTTTGAGGAAGTGGCTTCATGTCACGAGAATAGAAACTGACGGGTGTGATGGAGGGGATGCATACTGGGGAGGGAAGTAGGGGGATGGGAGACCCAGGAGGGGGTTGCTGAATTAAACAGGGGCTGCTCCTAGGTACCGAATGCCCAGGCTCCTGAATTCCATCCAGGCCCTTTCTCTCTGAACCCACCCCTGGGTCTCTGAAATAAACAGCAGCGTTTGAGGAAGTGGCTTCATGTCACGAGAATGGAAACTGACGGGTGTGATGGAGGGGATGCATACTGGGGAGGGAAGTAGGAGGATGGGAGACCCAGGAGGGGTTGCTGAATTAAACAGGGGCTGCTCCTAGGTACCGAATGCCCAGGCACACCCGCCCCCCTCCCACCAAAGGCTTCCTGTTCAGATCCTAGGAGAAGCTGGTAACTTCTGATTGGTCCCTGGCAGAGCTTTCTCCAATCAGGAGGCAGCATGTGGAGGGCCACCTGCCTAAGTGGGGGTCAAATGGGTCACAACACAGCCACGGTAGTGATGACATCCAGCCAAGGCCATGGTTACCCAGCTGAGCAGAGTAACAGTGTGGACTCATTGCTTGTGCGGTTTCTGTGCTCCCACACTGCTCCCAAGCGGCACTTTCCAATGTATTAGCTGCTTTTATCTTCCAGGAACCCTGCCACTTTGGAGATGCCAAGTGGGTCACAACACAGCCACGGTAGTGATGACATCCAGCAAAGGCCATGGTTACCCAGTTGAGCAGAGTAACAGTGTGGACTCATTGCTTGTGCGGTTTCTGTGCTCCCACACTGCTCCCAAGCGGCACTTTCCAATGTATTAGCTGCTTTTATCTTCCAGGAACCCTGCCACTTTGGAGATGAAGAGAGCGCAGAGAAGGTGAAAAATTAACCCAGGTTAATTTTTCCTGCACAGCTCCTGGCAGGGGCAGAGCAGGAACCTGGGTGGGGACACAGGGGGGGGAGTCAGTTTTTTTTTTTTTTTTGTCAATTTGACACAAACCTAGACATATTTGGAATGAGTAAGAATTGAGAAAGTGCATCAATAAGATTGGCCTGTAACAAAGGACACAGACAACAAGAAAAAACTTTCCCACAGAATGGGAAAAGGTCTTCACTAACCCCATATCTGACAGAGGGCTGATTTCCAAAATATACAAAGAACTCAAGAAGCTAGTCACCAAAACACTAAATAATCCAGTTAAAAGTGGGGTACAGGCCGGGCATTGGTGGCGCACGCCTTTAATCCCAGAACTCGGGAGGCAGAGGTAAGCGGATCTCTGTGAGTTCAAGACCAGCCTGGTCTACAAGACCTAGTTCCAGGATAGTCTCCAAAGCCACAGAGAAACCCTGTCTCGAAAAACCAAAAAAAAAAAAAAAAAAAAAAAAAAAAAAAAAAAAAAAAAAAAGGGGGAGAAAAAAAAAAAAAAAAAAAAGGAAGCGGGGGGGGGGAGAGGGGAAAAAAAAAAAAAAAAAAAGACCATCCAGGACCTAGCAGCAAAGATCAATGTGGACATCTTTTTTGGTAGGACCCCAGCCCCCCCCCATCCCGACATCACTTTCAGGTGTGTACACACATGTATGTGGTGTGCTCACTCATATATGCATGTGTGAAGGTTAGAGGTCAATGTCAGGTATCTTCTTGTGTCATCTTCTACCTTGATTTTTAAAATTTTACATGTTATTGAAAGGGGTAAACTAAACTCAAAGGCTTCACCTCTAGAAATAAAGGGACCAGACCCTCCCTCAGCCCCGGCTTTAGCAGCCATGACAGAAAAGACACGTAGGCCTCTGACACATGGAAACTCCAGATCCTCTGGCCTCCCAGAGCCTCGGGGCCAAAACTGAACACAAAGAAACTCCAGACCTGCCCCTCCCCAGCCTCTTAGGTACTTGGTTCCTGGGAACTGTTTGGCCACAAAAGAAATTCCAGGGGAGACCAAAACCTCACCTGTAGTCTCCAGGATATAGTTCAGAAAACTATTGGTATCTATGTACATCAGGCCACCTGCAAGTAACAAGACAAAGCCATAGAAACCACAAAATGTTCCCTCTTAGCACTGACCAATAAAAATGATTGGTACACGGGTATTTCATGCCAATATGACTTTGAGAAATTCTTCTGATTGTTCCCAAATGCCAACCAACTAGAAACCAACCCATACCTAGTGATATAATCCTGTAACTTTTGCATTTTAAAATCTAGCATTAGACAAGGAACTTTGCTCCCTCTGAAGCTGCTGTGTTGGCTAGCCAGACGGGATCCCTGTCATGGTTGGAAGAACAATCAATAAAACCTTGCTTTTGCAGTTTGGTGGGTCTGTCTTCCTGGTGATCTCGGGGGATCTTTGCGACTTGGGCACAACAGTTATGTATATGGGTGTTTTATTTGCATGTGTGTCTATGCACTATGTGTGTGACTGGTGCCCCGAGAGACCAGAAGAGGACTTTGAATCCCCTGGAAGTGGAGTTACAGACATCTGTGATTCCCCATGTGGGTGCTGGTCCTCTGGAAGAATAGCCAATGCTCTTAACCACTGAGCTGAGTCATCTCTGTGCTCCAGCCCTTCCACCATAGTTTTTGAGTCAGGGTCTCTCCTGAGCCTGGAAGTCAAAATTTTAGCAAGAGTAGGGGACCAGCAAGGCCACCCACCCCATCCATCTGATAAAGCAAATCCTTTGCCGAGTTTTGAGTCTCACCCTGCAGGTTTTGTCCAGGGGCAACAGCCATGACACAGAGCCCCAAGGCTGTGCCAGGAACTGCTCTGACATTTCCCCACATCTGAGCTCATTTCACCCCTACAACAGCCCTGTGCAGTGGGCGATGTCACTCCCACCCCCATTTGAACAGAGGCCCCGACACTCCCAGAAGAAAGGATGTAGGCCTTTGGATTTGGATGATTTGGGTCTGCTGGAGCCCTCTCTGGCCTTCTGTATCTTCCTCTATATATATAAAAAAAAACACTTGGGGGCTGAAGAGATGGCTCAGAGGTTAAGAGCACTGGACGCTGCTCTTCTAGATGTCCTGAGTTCAATTCCCAGCAGTCACATCTCACAACCATCCGGAATGAGATCTGGTGCCCTCTTCTGGCCTGCAGGCATACATGCAGGCAGAACATTGTATACATCAAGAAAACACTACCCAGCCTGCATGATTGCAGATGGTAAAAATAATAGATGGCAAATTGCTCAGCCTATGGTGGCCTGGCCCAGAGCCAAGTCCCACTAGCTCATGTTATTTTCTCTGCAGATGACCCTTGTCTGAAGGTTTTGCAAGAGGGGCTTCTGACTGTTCTATTTTATTAGACACTGGGACACACATATCCACCGTGTGAGGGACAGCCTGGCTCCACCTTGTGAGTCCCATGAAAGGACTTGGGCTCTATCTTAAGGTCATGGAAGGCTCCGGAATGTGATGATGGCATGACCTCACTTGAGGAGACTCCCTGTGGAGACAGGAATCCTGGCTGGAGACCAGAGTGGACTTGAGATGGAGTCAGGCACCCTCCCCTCTGTGGCTGCCACGGGACCTGCAGACCTGGCCTTGTCTCCCTCCTTCAACCCCCCTTTCCCAGAAGAGCCCTGCCCCTTCTCCTTCTTAGGAATGGGAAGCTGGCTGGCTGGTGGGGGGGGGGAGCTGGGGATGGTGGTGATGGCAGGGGAGGGTGATATAACACTGGGTGGAATGAGCCAACTTCTGCACTTCTCCAGCCATCCATGGCCAAAACACTCTGCAATTCCTGCGAAGAGATGATGGCCACAAGGTGGCACCAGGTCACCATTTTTGAGACACAGGGAACCAGTGTTCCTGGTGGGGTTGGGTCATCGAGAAGCCTCCTGCTGATGTCCAAGTTGGCCTAGCATCTTCCTTTGGCACCCAGGAACCTCTTCCTCCCTAGAGCTTGGGTTGGGATTCAGGGACTCCACTGGGTCAATCCATGTCAATGCCAGGTCCCCCAAGTGAAACAGGCTCTCTGATTAGAGAAACAACCG